ATTTAGTTCTACTTTGGTGTTGCTAAGGAAAAACTGTTTCTGAAACACTTAGATCAAATCGGTTTATACATAATTAAATCAAGGAATGTTTTATAAAAATCTATTTGGCCATGCTGTTCTAAATCTCTTTATATACTTCTCAAATAATTGCTATTCAAAGTATGTGTACATTTCATTATTTATGTCTTACAAAGCATAAGCTTACATCATTTTGCTTTTGTGGGGTGCATAAACTTCCAACAGTTCTAATTTGGGATTCATAAGAAAAGGAAGCTTTCTTATTCCTCAGATTCTTCTCTTTTACTTTCTGTTCCTTCTATTTTGAGGATATGCTTATCTTACATGGACCAAGTTTCAATCCTTATTTTTTTTAATAAAAATTTCCTTCAAATCATTAACTATAAACTTTCTGCTGTTTCAGTAAGGTCAACAAAAGAGCAAATCTGAATTTTTGCTGCTCAGATATTACAGAAAAGCGGGATCTCCGTGGACAAGGACACTGGTACTTTGGGCTTTAGCCATATTCATTTTTTTAAACCATCGATTATATAATGAGTAGGTAACTTATAACATTGAACTTGTGATTCTTTTCAAATCACACTTGAAGGTTCAGCCGTACTCCTTTCATGTTTGGTTTAAACTGTTGTATGGATGAAAAAAACCTAAAAGGGATGATAGTGTTTATCTTTTAATTTATTTGGTACTGTAAAAACACCTTTTCAGAATGCCTAAATGCTGCATATGCATTTTGGAATTGTTAATATGTGAAAGATATTACAGATTCAGCAAGAAAGGAAATTTGTGCTTCCTTGTTGAACATTAAATTATTTTACTTTGCATTTTATAAGAGTACAAATTAAAACTGAGCCATTGAACTGCAATAATACAACAATAGCGTCTCATTTCAAGAAATTTTTTGTACTGTACATAGACTTGTTCAATAAAACATTGTCCTTGTTGGTAATGAAGTGTTCAGTTTTATGTAGCATACTGCTTCAAAAGGAATTAGGCTTAAGGTATGCAGTAAATAAGAAAATTTCTATTATGTCCCATAAGAATAAATTATTTCAATTCATATTACCATACTCAGATGATTTTCAAAAACATTTTTAAAATAGAAACATCTAGAAGCTTACATAAAACATTTTAGACATTATTTTAACTAATGTCCACATGCAGGAATTAAAAATTGACAATGCTGGTTATTAACGTTTTTGGGTACCCTCTGCAAACTTAGTAGGTACATAAATATCAGAACTCTCTAAATGAAAGACAGCGGATGGATTTATCTGTGTTGGTAAATCAAAGATGAAGTGCATCTGGTGGAACTCAAAACAGAGAAGTCACTTTGAAACAAGGAGTGAATATTGATGAAAATGACTTCCTAAAAACATTTCAGTGGGAAAATGTATAAACCAATTAATCTGTACTTAAAAGTGAGGTCTTGGGCATGAGAGCTCCTATTTTTTTGGTTGAGAAACAAAGGAAAACCCCCTACACCCTTTGCTATAACTTGAAACTAGAAAAAAATGAGGGCTTAACTAGAAAAAGACCCTGTTTGATAGGATGATAGCAATGTAAATGAAAGGATGGTGCTACGTCCAGTGATTTGCACATACTGCAAACATGCTTTGAAAAACACTGCAAAAGTTACTGAAGCATTCTAGAGCTGAGATCTGGAATTCTCAGTCTATGCTTCTGGTCATATGACTTTAGACTATTAAATGTATTGGGGTATTTAGATAAAGGTATTGGAGTTAATCTAGACTTTTCATTTTTCTTTTCTGAGATTTGAGGAATTCTGGAAAGTAATTGAATACTACTAAGTATGCTTCCAAGATAAATGAGGTTGCTTTTCAGAGCTTAATATAAATTCCATACCAGTTTCAAGAATCAACTAATAAAAGGTCAGAAGGTTTGGCTATATATGAAGATGTCAAATGGAGCAGCAATCCAATAGTACATGGAATTAAAGTGGGAGAGCTTAATGCCTTATTTATAAGTGCTTACACACTGGAGAAGAAATGTCTCCTGTTTTACTAAGTTATTACATACTAGCTAATTTATTTATGTTACCCCTAATTGTTAAAAGACACGAACACTGTTTTAGAAACCAAGGCTCAAAAACAAGTAACTTGACTGAAGTCATACAGGAGAGGTGGGATTGAAAAATCAGATGTGTCCTCCTAAAACCATAATGCCATGAAGTTTTCATTCTGCCATGTAGTTTTTCCTGCAAATATAGAGCATGAGTAGCTGGCTCTAATACATCCAAACAGAGTGTCAGACTTGCCCAAGGATCAGTGATTTCAGAGACAAAGGATGAAGTCTTAGGTGGCTGATGTTTCATTTTTTTCTATTAGCAGTGATTGTTAAAGTGTGGTCCCCAGAGCAGCAAAATAAACATCACCCAAGAACTTGTTAGAAATGCTAACTTGGGTCGGGGGAGGCGCCTGGGTGGTTCACAGTTAAGTGTCTGCCTTTGGCTCAGGGTATGATCCTAGGGTCCTGGGGTGGAGCCTCTGGTTCTTGGGCTCCCCGCTCAAAGAGGAGTCTGCTTCTCCCTCTCCCTCTGCCCTTCCCTCAGCCCAATGATCTCTCTCTTGCTTGCTCTCTCTCAAGTAAATAAAAGCAAGAGGCAAGTTTAAGGAACAAATAGCAAGGGGCCCACTGTGGCTAGTCTGGAGTAAGAGACAGAGAATAACAGAAAATGAAGACAGGAGGTAAAAAAGCGAAAGTCTTCACAATGGCCTGCAAGGACCTAGATGTGAAGTGTTTTTTTAAACCCGGTTATTTCACTTAATTTGCTAGCTTCAGGGAAGAGGTGCTAGGTGCTACTGGCATCTAGTGGGTAGAGGCAAGGGATGCTGTTAAACATCCTACAATGCATACAGCCCCAAACAAGGAATTATCCTGCCCAAAATGTTAATAGTGCCTCCCCTGAGAAACCCTGCTCTAGATCATTCTTGATGGCAGCCCTAACCTCACTGCGTCCTCCTCGAGCAGGCTGCTCTGGCCTCCTTCCTGCATGCCAAGCATTCTGCTTCTTCCTTGGAACCTCACTGTTGTTTGTTCCTACAAGACTCTTCTGTGCTTCACTCACTTTCATCAGGTCTTTTTTCCAATATTACTTAGAGGAGAAGTCTTTCTTGACAGTCTGTATAAAATAGCAACATCGGCTCCATCCCCCTGCTTCTGATTTGTATTTCTTCATAGCATTTCCTGACACAGTATATAGTTTCTTATAAGTTTATTGTCTGTGTCCTCTCACTAGACTGAAAGCTCCAAAGAAACTGTTATTTGTTCCCAACACAGCAATGTCTGGCAAATAGGTGCTCAATAAATACTCCCCCCACCTTTGTAAATGAAAGAATGAATGAAAGAAAAGGTTGGGTATACCTTCCATATAGTCCACACCAGCATGATGAGCACTTGCCATCTTTTTACTTGCAGCACTCTTCAAAACGTTCTTGAAAGGAGGGTCTGTGTCATTTCTCTGAATCTTCAATACCTAGCATAGTAGGCACTCATTAATACTTAATGGAAAATGCAGGATTTTAATCTGTTGAGCAAATGATACCCCAAATAACATCCACTGGCAAATTAGTAATAACCATGCTTTGAATACCTACGCTACATTTACAGCTTATTTTATAGCTCATATTTAGCTGTGCTATTTTTTAAAAAGTTAAATTTGCTCACCTGTATCTGAAGATATGTACATTTTAACTAGAAAATGGCAATACCCTAATTAAATGTTAGCAAATCTGAAATATGTCTAAAATGTGGAAGAGGCCCGAGGCAAGTGACAATGTATTTAAGTCTGATTCCTTCATCGGTCTCGGTTGAGCAGAGCATGACTTTCCATTGGTGAATACGAGTTGCTGTCACACTAACAGTAGCAGCTAACATGCACCGAGTTTTTCTAGGTGCCAGGCACTATGACCCGCACCGCCGTCCCGGGCAACCCTATGAGGTAGCTAACTCTACCAAGTCCATTTTGGGATAGGAAACTGAGGGACAAAAAGGCTGAGGCATGTCCAAGATTACAGTTAGTGAATGGCAAGAGTTAAACCCTGGTATTTGGGCTTCCGGAGTCCCCAACCCTGAATTGCTCACGATACAGCATCGTCTAAAACCTAGCCCGCCAGGACTGGAATCCTAAATTAAGACATGAAAGCAAGGGGCGCCTGGGTGGCTCAGTGGGTTAGGCCTGTGCCTTCAGCTCAGGGCATGATCTCAGGGTCCTGGGATGGAGTCCCGCATTGGGCTCTCTGCTCAGCAGGGAGCCTGCTTCCCTCTCTCTCTCTGCCTGCCTCTCCGTCTACTTGTGATCTCTCTCTGTCAAATAAATAAATAAAATCTTTAAAAAAAAAAAAGAAATGAAATGAAATTAAGAAGGCAGGGCATAGGTGACTTTTTTTTTAAAACTTTTCATAGTCTAATGCTAAACAAAACCAAATTATTTGAACACTGTACTACGTAATTTAAGAATATCAAACTACAGGTGCACCCAAGTTCGAACTGGCTGCAGAGGATGTTCAAGCGCTGCCGGGGGTCAGGCCCACGGGCGGGGAACAGGCGCCTCCATTGGCCGGCCCCGCGGCATCACGGGAGCTTGCCGTGCGCAGGGACCGCCACCCGCTCTCCACGCACCTGCATCTGCGCAGCCCTCCCAGGCGCGTTTTGGGAGGCCCGACTCTCGAGAGTTCAGGGGCTCACTTTCCGGAACCAGGTCCCTTGTGGGAGATCGCTGTTCTCGTTGCAAACGCAGTACTTCCCCAAAGTGAGATCGGTTGGATTCCCCTCCGTCCTGTCCAGCCCGGAACGACAAGACCGAGCACCGCGTTTCCTGATTGACCTTGTTGGCAATCACTTCCGCCCAGGGGTTTGGAATACCCGAGGCCCTTTGGCGGCGAACAACAGGAAAGGCACTTCCGGTGTATGTTGCCTAGGCGCCGGCTTGGTGGGCCAGCGGGGCGACATAAGTGGGTCGTCCTCTCCCCCCCAACCCCCTTTTGGGGTTCAAGATGTCGGGGCTCAGCGCTCCGGAGACGGAGGGTTGTCGTAACCTGCTCGGCCTACTAGACAACGATGATATCATGGCCCTGTGCGACACTATCACCAACCGCCTGGTGCAGCCTGAGGACCGCCAAGGTAAGTGTTGACTTTTCTCTTCAAGGGCGGACGCCCCTCCCAAGGCCTCACTCGGACCCCAGGTTGCCAGGACATGGGAGTAGAGGAGGTGCAAGAGGTCGCCCCGTTAAGGCGCCCGGCGGTGCTGGGGCGGGACTCTCGAGAGGGCCGCTCATCCGCGGCATGGAAACCACCGCGCAACTTCAGGCGGCACTGAAGCTTCACATCCTCGGGGGGCTGGTGACCCTGGAAACGGCGCGGCTTCCAGGTTTTATCTGGTATGTGGATATGGGGGCAAATGCTCATTTTTTCGACAATTTAGAGTACGTGAATAGTGATTTCAGAATTTCCGGGGAGCCGGGGTGTTTTTCATTTTCGGTTTCGTCTGAGCCGAGGAATCAGCTGCTGCTCAGGTGGTTTTCTTCAAGCTCCGAGGAGGATATCATAAACACTTTGAAGCCTCGTAGATAAAACGAACTACCGTAATGAAAGAGCAGATAGTTTGATTCCATGTCTCTTTTTGGATCCAGTTTTTTTTCTGAGATGATTTTGTGTAGGAGGAATACGTTACTTTCAGGGCCAAATAAACATTTCTGTAGAGTAGATTTAAAGGGTTATTAATATTTAGCCTGGTTATAGCTACTCCATATAAAAATTAATCAAGAAGTCTCTGTGTTTATTTCACTTGGCATATCATCTGCACAGTCTTACTTTAAATTTGCTGAATTTTACTTTAAAATGGGGAAACTCCAGACTTCTATGTTAGTACGACTTAAATAACTACGAAAGCATAATCTATTTCTCTGCTTTTAAATTGAATTTACGTTTTTGCCATTTAAGAAGATCATTTGAAACTTCAAATTTAATGTTTCTTCAGACATTAAAAAAAGAAATTACTAAGAATTTGGAATGCAGATAGTTTTAGACTTAATAGAGTTCTTAAGCTTTTATGTATTTCGCATGCCAGTCACCACCTAACAGTCCTTGAGTTTGAGTTTAAAAGTATAATAGATAAAAATGTTGCATTTAATTGATGGTGGATCTAAAAGCAAATGAAAAGAAACTTCCCAGTACAGAAATGTTAAATGATTTGGAGAGATAATTCTCAAAGAGGAAGAAAATAATCCTCTATAAGAATATAAAAAGGTAACTATTTATTTATTATGGAAAGAGATATATATATCTCTTTCCATATATATGGAAAGATAATCTCTTTTTGAAAAGCAATGAAATGAAAACCAAAACCAAAAGTGTTTTTCCTTTCTACCAGATTGGCAAAAAACTAAGCGTGGTGATCATGCAAAGCAGCTCTTTGACAATTTTTCAAGGAGTGTAAATTAGAACTTGGGTAAACAGATTTGACATCATCTCCTAAATGGAATTATTTGCTTACTTCCGGGCTCATATTCTGCACCTGAGCTTCTCAAGCTTGAATGTGTTTGTGAATCAGTCCCTCAGGATTCTTGTGAAAAATGCAGATTCTGATTCAATAGTTTTGTTTGTTTTAAGATTTTTATTTATTTGTCAGAAGAGGGAAGAGAGAGAAGCAGAGGGAGAAGCAGGCTCCCAGCCAAGCAAGGAGCCCAATGCGGGACTCCCATCGGGGATCATGGCAGACGCTTAACTGACTGAGCCACCTAGGCGTCCCTGATTCAGTAGTTTTGAAGTGAACCCAGAAATTCAGCATTTCTAGCAAGTTCTCAGATGATCCTTGTGCTGCCTGCCTCTCTGTGCCCTGGGAGACATTTATGAAAATGTTCAAAGTGATGGTGTTTGTAATTGAACATACCCAGTAAAAATCTATGACCGAGGGCGCCTGGATGTCTCAGGCAGCTGGGCGTCTGCCTTCTGCTCAGGTCATGATCCTGGAGTCCTGGGGTCCAGCCCCGCATCAGACTCCTGCTTGGTGGGGAGCCTGCTTCTCCCTCTCTGTCTGCCTGCAGCTACCCTGCTTGTGGGTGCACGGACGAGCTCACGCGCGCTCTCTCTCTCTCTCAAATAAATAAATAAAAATCTTGAAAAAAAAAATTTTTGACCAGAAGGATAGATGCCTTGTGATGTAGTCATATAATTTACTGTAGTACAGTTAAATGAATTAATTAAAAAATTAGAGCTACATATATCTACAGATTTATGTCAGAAACAACATTAAGTGAAAAGCTGAGTGTGAAAGACCATCTATATACATATATATATGGATTGGATTTATAGAGTGTTCCAAAAATACCAAACTGTATTGTTTAGGAGTTCACAGTTATGCTGTACAACAAAAAGAAAAGCAAGGGAATGATAAACAGCATTTAGGATAGCAGCTACCTCTAAGGTGGGTGAGTAGAGAAAGGAATAGTGTTAAGTAAGGAGGGTTAAAATGAAGTCCTCAAAGATACTAGTAACATCTTATGTCTTAAGCTATGTGATGTGTACATGGGAGTTCATTTTTTTGCTATTCTGTATTCTTCATGTTAAAAAAAATCTTTGATCTGTTTAATAAGACACTTTTTAATTAAAAAAGAATACAAGTCTTAGTTCTGCCACTTCTTAGAAGCATGGTTGTTGATACCTTTTATATCCTCAACTTTTATTGTCTGTAGAGTAAGAAGTTTAAAAATCCTTGCAGATCTAAAATACTGTAATTTTACCTATGTTAGGGGTTATAAATGAATTTAGGTCTATTGGCCTTCTTAGAAAAGAATTTTTTCTCTGGCTCAAATTTTTTTCTTAAAACATGTCATTGTTTAAAAAAAATGTAAAACTTCTGTCTTAAGAGAAGTGAAAGGAAGAGGTAAGTATAGGTAGGGAAGTTTAAATCATAAAGAAAAAATTTTTTAAACCCAAAATCTGACAGCCCAGTTCCTGGTCTTTAAAAATTACCATCTTGTGCAAAAGGAGTAACACCATGACAAGAATTTGTAAATACTATTTGATAGGGTTTCTGCTGACCCTGAACAGATTTACAGGTGATTTGCAATTTTCTACTAATCTTTACAATTTCCTTCTAGATGCCATTCGTGCAATATTAGTGTACAGTCAAAACGTAGAAGAACTTTTGAGGCGTAAGAAAGTCCACCGAGAAGTCATATTTAAGTACTTGGCAACGCAGGGGGTTATTGTACCTCCAGCTACTGAAAAGCACAATCTTATTCAGCATGCAAAGGATTATTGGAAAAAGCAGTCACATCTGAAATTGAAGGAGACACCAGAGCCAGTTAAGACAGAGGACATTAGACTATTTCAACAGGTAAAAATAGATATTATAGTTATACCTTAAATTTTAGTTCTGTCTAAACTCTTCAGATAATCCTAGTTCTGTGGGGACATGGTTAATAATATTTTCGCTTTTATAATTTAGCTTCACTCCATATCCTTTGCATTCTAAAGGAAGACCAGTAAAGCACCTAAAAGAAAGAAAATATCTCTGACATTTAATAATGTATATAAAGTGCTATATTGATTTTTGAGGGAAAAAATGTTTTATCACTTTATCAAACGAGTACTGTTGGATTTATAAAGAGAATGGATAGACTGCAGGATCAATTTAATTTTAAGTTAGCTTCATGTTCTCTGTAATATTCTTGTCCGCTTAAAAAAGAATGCTGCTGTTAGCCCTTTCTCATTTTGAAGACTTCTTTGGTATTAAATTGTAAAAATTCCATGAGAGAAACTTAAATAATTTTTAATATTTGATTTTTTTTTTTTAAGTTAGAAAAAATTCTCTTGTAATAATTTCCTCCAGCTGACATTGTCTGTTCCTATTTCTTTGTATCCACTGGACATTTTAGATGCTGTTGGAATATTTAAATGTTGATTGTATGAACTCTAGGTAATTTGCAAATTTTATTTTTTTAAACAAAGCACAAAAAGACAACCCCCTTTCCAAATCAAATATATAGCTTAATAAATGTCCATAAAGCAGAAACATTTGTAATGACCATCCTGGCCAGGAAATAGAAATTTGCCACCCACTCCAGAAGCCCCTTCCATGAATTTGCAAATTTTAAACTACATACTTTGAATTAGCAAGGTTTTACAGCAAGAGGCATTTGCTTTCACATTAGGAAAGGACCTTCTAATAGCTTTCTTAGTATGCTAAAGAGAATGTTTACTCTGAAATCATACAGATGTGTCTTCAAATAGAGTCTGCATTGTGCTAGGTGTGAACTTGAGCAAGTAACTTGACTTTCCTGAGTCTTTTTTACTTTATCTATAAAGCAGGCATAATAATGATAGTATCTGTGTAATAGGCTTGTGAAGATAAAAGGAAATAGTCCATAAGTGCCAAGCACAGAGCCAAACATATTCAGTCATGGGTGCTCTGTCAGTTAAAGATTTCTTACCATCGAAATGAAGTACTGTGCTCTGAAATATTCTCATCTACTCACATAGATAATAAAATCAAGCTTATCAGGTATATTTTTGCAATAACATTACCCTTTGTAAAAAAGAGAAATAACAGTATAAAATTAATCTCAATCATAAAAAGTAATGTATTTCAGTTGTATTAGAACTCTGTTTAAAGATAGTAAAAAATGCTTATTTGTTACCAACTTATTTTAGTATAGTTTATATTCAACAAATCAACCATCCGTATCCATTTAAAGCATATAGTTTGAAGGTTTTGACAGATTTTGAAATCACTGCCACCATCAAGAGAAAATACTTAATGTAAATTATTGTTGACTCTTCATGCTGATTTTTTGAGAGGCTTTGTTAAACCTTAATTTCTTAGCTGAATTTTCAGATGTTTAAGCTGGTAAATTCTAAAATGATTTTTCCCCTTTTTGGAAAAACAGTTTACTGTGCATGATGGGTTCGATGAGTTCACCTGTAGTTCATTTAGCTTCTGCTATACTCAACATATGACAACTTAGCTCTGAAAGAGACTAGATAGAAAAAAGATATGAGAACTGACCTTGGTTATATTTTATATTTTATTTATCTTAATCAGCAGGAAAAAGAAGATAAAAAAGCTGAAAAAGTTGATTTTCATCGATTAGGAGAAGAATTTTGTCACTGGTTCTTTGAACTTCTTAATTCTCAGAATCCTTTTCTGGGTCCACCTCAAGATGAATGGGGGCCACAGCACTTCTGGCACGATGTCAAGCTTAGGTTTTATTACAACACCTCTGAACAAAACGTGATAGACTACTATGGAGCAGAAATTGTGAGCCTTCGTCTGCTGTCACTAGTGAAAGAAGAGTATCTTTTTCTCAGTCCCAACCTAGATTCCCATGGACTGAAATGTGCTTCTTCTCCCCATGGTCTGGTTATGGTTGGAGTTGCTGGGACTGTCCACCGAGGGAACACTTGTTTGGGCATTTTTGAACAAATTTTTGGACTCATACGCTGCCCTTTTGTGGAAAATACATGGAAAATCAAATTTATCAACTTGAGAATTATTGGAGAGGGTTCTCTTGCTCCTGGAACATCAATGAAACCAGCTGTTACATTTGAACCTAGTGATCTAGAGGCCTTTTATAACGTAATTAGTTTATGTAGTACAAACGAAGTACAACTTAATGTAAGGCAGACATTGGATAGTGGAACTGGAGACCAGGCTTTAAGCAGTGGAGATGAGGCATTGTTGAACAAAAGAGAACTGAATTTACCCAACCCTCTAAAGCACTGAACATTGTATGTCAGTCTCAAAAACTTTCTATACGAAAACTCCTCTAAATACCCCATCAGTAATGTCTAAGTGATTTCAGGTGTGAGGATTGACATTTTAGTTGAAATATCTGTCTTGATAACAGACTGACATACTATGTGAATACTTGACTCTTTCTACCTGAGTTGCAGCAAATGTTCTAAGAGCTAATGCAGTTCATCAAATAAATCCCTTTTAGATGGTATAACTAACGGTGTGCCTTAGAAACCAGGTAATACTTTCATTTTACTTAGTGGATATTCTGCTAATATTTGTACTTTTCATGTGGGAAAGGTTTAACGTAAACTCAAAGTTACCATTTTAGAAAACTTGAGTGACATTCTCACGCAAAAAGTCCAATAATTTAGCAGGTGGAGAAAAATATACTTTGCCTTTTTAAAATTTGAGGAACATTTTTCAGTTATCTATTAGTAGACCAAGCTAAATATCTTAAAATCTGCAACATTTTCTGAACTCTTTTGGGTAATGATAAATGCTATTCTCTAAACAGACCTAATTCTTATCTAAGGCTTCAGCTAATATTTTTATAGAACATTTATTGTAATACTATATAAAGGAAACATACCATTAAAATTTTTTAAAAGGTATGCCCAGTTCTAACTTAAATGAATTACTATTTTCCTCTTGATTGATCTTGGAAGAGGTGACCAAAACCACCCCCATCCAAAACAAAACACACACACACAGATTTATAATGTGGGCGTATCTATATACAGATATAGATATACTCCTATATCATAAATTAAAATTATTAGGAATTTTTGCCTCTAAATTGTTCTACGAGGTTTGACTTAAAAGGTTAAGTTGCTTTAGGGTTTAAATTCTTCATCACTTGGCAACTACTGGCTGATCTGGGACTTAGTAATTTTAATTTAAAAAAATGCCATATAGAAAAAATTCAGCAGGGAATTGTGATGATGTGTTGTACATGTTATTTTACCTTTAACTCTTCTCATGATCATCTAGGATAACAAGAATTTTGGAAGCAGGGGGAAAAAACTCATCATTTTTGGTTTTTTAATGCCATACCTTTTATGAGGAGTACAAATTGATACATCCTAAAATAAGAACTTAATAAAGGAGGGAAATTCCTACTGTCTGCTATAAGAATAGTATATTGTTTAGATTTAAAACCAGATTATCATTTTCGCCTTTAAATAGAGTATCATTATAACATGTACTCAATAAATATCAGTAAAGGATAAAATTAAAAACTATTCCCATCTGTATTCTTTGTGGTATTAATGACAAGTATTGCAGAAATATTACTACAGATAGATGCTCAGGATGGGCAGAAGTTGCCTCTAGCTATCTTCAGTATGGACTTTTTGAATTCGTGTAATGCTCAAGTAAGCCTGCAATCTTCGCATGTTCTTTTAATCAACATTAGAAATTTGAAATCTTACTGATAGAACCTCTCGAGAATTGGAACTATGTTTTACTTTCTGTGAATCCCCACAGCTGGACAACACATTAGGACCTAATGTTTAACTGGATGAAAGAATGAGCAAAAGAAATTTACATACTGTATAAAAGACTTTACTGCATCTAGATTTTGTCTTTGGTTCTTATCAGTGATGGGTTGGTTTGTTTGATCATTTCATCCGTTTGAATTTCATATGTGGATACACAGAAACTTTTAGGCTTCAAGCCAACAGATATAATCTTCTTTTAAAATTTACTAAATTTAAAAAGCCCACGGGTGAGAATGGGATAAACTGAAAGGCTATAAATTATAGGAGAAGTATATATTTTTATGCTCAGAGAAAGAAGACCTGGAGGAATTGAAATTTATTCATGAAGTTTAAAGCTTGTTCAAGCCTTTGAGAAGGTCCAGAAGCACACTGCAGATTTAACTCTGCTTTTCTACCCTCCCTTTGTTTTTTATATGTTAGAGAATGGCAGAGACCCCAGTTTTAGGTCCCTTTAGCTTCATTTCACCCTCAACTGCTATTTTGAAAGTTGTTGGGAGTCAAGTAGTAGAGAGTACAACACTACACAATTCACAGTGATTGAATGGTCAAACCAGGGGGGCAGCTGGGCTTTATTTACTATAGACTGCTTTGCAGTAGACTAATAGGGCATACATGAAGTATCTGTTCTTGTTAAAATAAAATATCTTAAAGTAATAGTTACAGTGGGATGTCTTATTAGTATCTAGAATGCCAAAAACAAATTTCATGAGTCTTATTAACTAAATACCAAATAATAGGAAAAAAGCCATCTCTGTTTTATGAAAGCAACTTGCAAATGGCCAACACAGGAAAACTTCATTCCTATGTTTTCAGAAAGATAATATTCTTAAGCTAAAGGAAGGCTGAGTACCCACTGCCGTAAGAAATTATAATAGCACCAGAAAAGGGTTTAAAGAATAGTGGCTTAATTTAAAAAGTCAGCAGTTTTGTGTTTCAACAAAATGGCTCTTATGGCCAAGTAAATGATAAACAATAAAATACAATAAAAATATATAAATAAAAAACATAAAAACATGCTCTAATGTTTTTATTAGTATCTGTATTCACAAATTTAGATGCCCTTTTCTTCACTGGTTCTTAATTTGGGCTGTAGGGAATGATCATGGATTTTTTGAAAAATGAGAGCTCTGTTCTTTCTCCCCAGAAAAAGTGTTTGCATTTAGTATTACAATTTTTGCATTATTTCACTGAGTTTATGGACTTCCCTAAAGCACATCTGTGACTCCGATAAGCATCCTTATACTTCTCATGTTAAAATCCTGTCATAATAGTTACATTTCATCCAAACTACTACTCAATATTAAAATTATTTTTAAGAAAATTTTGTGCCCTTGCTGGAGTCCATAAGCTAGAGAACTAAATCTTACTTATGAATGTAAGGATAATCTCTAGGAAATATATTAGTTTATGATAGTTGTTAATTTGTGGATTTTGTTTTTTAAGACATGCTAAGATAAAACCTACTGAAATAGCCAAGTGAAACAAAAATGTTCAGAATTCATTTTATTTTGGCAAGATAAATTTATGAAAAATAACATGCGTTAGAGAAAGTGTGACAGAAAAATCTGAAGAGAAAAAGTATTGAAAAAAATTCTCAGGGTACCTGGGTGGCTCAGTCAGTTAAGTGTCTGCCTTCTGCCCAGGCCACGATCTCAGGATTCTGGGAATGTCCTGGGAACTAGCTCTACCGGTGGATCCTGTCCTGTCTCTTCCTCTCCCTCTGCCCCTCCCCTGCTCCTGCTTGCTCCCTTACTCTCTCAGTTAATAAGTAAAATCTTAAAAAAAGATTTCTCTAGATCTTTACAAAAACTTTATCCTGAGATGTTATTTAGTAATGTATACTGCTAATTTTGATGAAGGATTTTAAACATAGGATCATTTCCTCTGAAGATTTGTGTATGTGACCTCACAACATTCCTTCTCCCTTCACCCATGCTCTTTATAACATTTGTATATACTCAAGTTTGAATGCAGATAGCACAAATCCAAGTGCTGGGAAAATAGGACTTTTCTGCATCTGGGTTCTCTTCAGGTTTATTTGGCATATATTAACGGAACATCTACAATTTAAGTCACTGAATCAAGCACAAGATAAAATAATACTCAATAGGTTATTTACCTAAATTTCCTATGTTAAGTTTCAGTTTCCTAGTTTACATGTCTTAAGATGAGAACTGCTTTAGGCCCTTTTTTTTAGGGTGTGGTTATATCTTTTTTGTATGGGTCAGGAAAGAAGAACACTTAATTGAAATTTTAGATAGCTGTGTGGCCCTAGCTATGCCATGTTGATTGTATCAATGCAGAATATAAGATATTTTGACAGACTATTTAGAGTTGGAAGGAAAATAATTTCAGAACTGTATTAGAGTGCACTAAATCTTTTTAACTTTATTTTTTTCTAGTTTGAAACTTTTCCAGTAGTCCTGCAGTAAAACATTAATATTAAAGTGGAGTATTATTTACTATGAGATAGAATGCACTCTAAAATATTAAAACATAGACTCCAGAAATGTGTTACTCATGAAATGTTAATAAAATCACTGGCCTCAAATTTGATACCTCCTAATTTCTACTGCTAGTACTGCCCAGTATTTCCCTTCATAGTCATTTAGTGAGGGTTCTTTGGTTAGCAGTTTTCATCTTCAGGTTTTAGACACCCTAAATGTCAAGTATGAAATTTAGTTACATTTGAATTAATGAATTTAAGAATTGAAGGCTCCTCTGCTACACAGTGCCAACTGTGTTACTTAATCCGTTTTCTGAACAAAAGTTAAAATCAGTAACTATTTAGGAAAGCCTTTTTTCTTGAAGCATTTAGTTTCACAAGTTTGCATTAATCTTTTCCATCTCTTAAAATACTGATGGTAGTATTTATCTAATTGTTCTCAAATTGTTACATGTAACTGACTATTGCCTCCCTAAATAGATGGTAAATTACTAGAACTGGTGACTCTTTTCTAAAAGATTTTCTTAAATTGTAGTGTAATTAACATATGGTGTTATGATAGTTTCAGAGGTCCAATATAGTGGTTCGACAGTTCTATATATTACTCAGTGCTCATCCTGATAAGTGTATTCTTAACCCCTTTCAGCTATTTTACCCATCAGTTTTTGATGAATCCTTCTGTCTTCAGTATGAAAGGTCATTTGCTAGCTCTGATTTCCAAAGCAAAGGTGCCTTTAGTCTCTATTGTTTATCTAAGTACAGTCTAGGAGTGTTAGTGCATGCCATATGCTTGGAATTATACTTCTTAAATTGCTTGGTGATTTAAAACCACTTGAAAATATATAGAATGCTCATGTATGATATTATAAAAAGGAATAGAGATAATTGGGATATATAGAAATATATGTAAAAATTTACATGAAATTTTTTGAACTTAGTGTGTCATCGCAATCTAGTCCTCTTCCCTTCCTATTGTACTTTCAGTGTCAGAAGTAGTCTGTTTCACACATTTAATTTCTTGCCATGTCTGGATGCAGTGTATCTACAATATTGCTTTTTATTTCAGCTGCTACTATAATTAGAATTTCTTTTACCTAAACATTGACTTAATTTTTTCTTTGCTTTAATATTTTTTACGTATTTAAAACATTAAAATTTCCTTAAAGTATAGCTTTCATTTCTTCCATGCTCAGAACTTTCAGTGTGTATAGCATTACCTCCAAAATAAAATCCAGATTTTAGGGCGCCTGGGTGGTTCAGTGGGTTGAGCCTCTGCCTTCAGCTCGGGTCATGATCTCAGGGTCCTGGGATCAAGTCCTGCATCGGGTTCTCTGCTTGGCAGGGAGCCTGCTTCCTCCTCACTCTCTTTGCCTGCCTCTCTTCCTACTTGTGATTTCTCTCTGTCAAATAAATAAATAAAACTTAAAAAAATAAAATAAAATCCAGATTTTATAATCTGGTTTTCATCACCATCTAGGTTTGATTTCCCTCATTTTTATGCATTGTTTGGTCCAGCCAACATTTGCTATTAAGTAGTCTTAGTATTTATCCTGTGCTTACTTAGCCCCTGCTTTTATTGGGAAGTATAGACAGCCCTTGATTTATAGTGGTTCGATTTAGGATTTTTCAGTGTTACAAAGGTGTGAAATTGAAATGCATTCAGTAGGAATCATACTTTTGTTGTTGTTGTTGTTGTTATTTAAGTAATCTCTACACCCCATGTGGGGCTTGGACTCACCACCCTAAGATCAAGAGTCACATGCTCCGACCTAGCCAGCCAGAC